CAGGGACTCGAAGGACTCGCGTAGTACCCAGGCGACACATTTACACGCACTGCTGGCTGCCTCACGTACTCGGCATTGTGACAAATGGATTTTCGCATGAAATCCCCAGGATTTCTTCAAGTGTAATTGCGCACGCTAAAAGCGAATGCGAATGGCCGCCGCATCCGCATAGGGAACCGCATCTGCAAAGTCCCCACACACACACACACACACACACCTAACACACAAAAAAGAACCTGCAGTTTCGAGTCCACAAAACCAGCATTAAATTTCGTGCACTTGCAGCGCTCACTCGAACGTTTATTGCTTTCCTTGGATAATTTGTGGGCTGCCCAGGGGATAATAATATCTGTGAGGGATATTGCCGATCGGGCGTTGAGTGCAGCGCGTTGACATGTCCAGTTGACAGAGTCTCAAGCTGGTGACGAGAGCAAAGCAGCTGCCAAAACAGCAGCCAAGATTCAGTTTTTTCTCAATATTCTTTATAAACTTTATTGTTCCAACCAAACCCCACATTGTACCCGCAAGACTCTCCCAAAATACGCTCCAAAATGAACCCTGATTGATGGTCGCATCGTACGCCAAGTGAAACAGTTGTTCCAACAAGAGTTGCAAAAAACGAAATATAATCAGCAAGCAAAACGCACAGCGACTGCCTTGGCTTTGCACTTGATTAATGTAAATCTAAGTCTAAAGCAAAATCCTAAACTCTTTCGATTTTGTACAGCTCAAAGTCTCGATTTACTCCGTCAAATTTGTCGCCAGCCACTTGTAAAGGTATTGGGCGACGCGACATCTCTAGTTCTGCGAACCGTCGCCGAGACAGTGGTCGTTGTGTGGGGGGTTGGGGGGGGGGCATCGTAAAAGTATAAAAAGTTTATATTGCCAACACTAGCAACCAGGGAGCAGGCGGGCGACATTACTGAAAGCCGAGAGCCGGGGCTGGGCGGAGGCAGAGGCAGAGGCGGAGGCGCTGGGGCATCGGCCACCCCCACAAATCACGCCCAGGCTATTTGCAGTGAATTGAAATTGATCAATTTGGGTAGTTAGGGGAATTGTTTGGCTTTATGTGCGCGCTGGATGGCAGCTTTAATGGATGAATTCGCTTATGCCATCGGGACTGCTGAAATGGGTGGAAATTGAGGTTGGCCACACTGGGGGCTGGGATCTGGGATCTGGGATCAGGGGATGTGAGAGACCTTCGGCGCGGAGTGCCCTCACATCAAATTAACGTTTGCGGCCCCCCCCCCCCCCCCCCCCCCGGGAGGGGACTCGGCTTGTTTTGTGGAATCAACCGAAATAATTCCAAAAAGTTCTTTGCGGAAAATTATGAAAAAATTACCACAGCAATTAAGCCGCCCGTGCTATCGGCAGTTTACAGTTTACCTGATACTGGGATACTGGGCACTCCCCTAGCTGCAGCCCCAGACCGTGGACAGCATTTATCTTTGCAGTTGGTTGCATTTAAGCCTCGAACTGCAGAGCCAGCTGACAATGAGTCTCACAGCAAGCAGCTTACTGCATGGCTGGACGAGCAGCTCAGCGCCAAGTTTTATCCTGCCTGCCAGAGTCCTTCTCCTCCTCCTCCTCCTCCTCCAGGCTGTTGCCTTTGCTCTGCTTCGCTTAGGTCTTGGACAGTTTTTTTCTTTTTAAATCTCTGCATCTCAATTTTGCCCACAGAGTGCCATTCGCCGTTGTCTTTGTGCTCATCTGTCGTCGCTGCATTATTTCCAATTGCTCCAAAAAAAAGAAAAGAAAAGGAAAAGAATAAGGAAAAATACGGAAGAGGAAAATCTGCCTAATTCAAAGTGAAGGACGGGGCAAGGAGTGCGGGGGTAGGGTAGTCCATGGGGGCAGTGCTTACAACGCAAATCTACAAAACGAACGGAAATAAAGTGGAAAGTGTAATGACAAAAACCCGGATTAAGAGTGCGCCGCATAC